GATCCGATGCCCGCCGCCTCATTGATACGCCCACCCCCCATGTTTCCCACTTTCTTTGTTGTAGAAAAAGGTAAAATTGAAGATTAGCAGACCACCTGGCACCTGCATATTATGAGCTGTGTAAAATAAAAAAAGACCGATTCGTTCAAATACACAAGTTGTGTTGCTGTGTAGAGCTGAGCATACGGCAACTTTTGATTCTATAGACCAGCGCACAATTCATTACGTAGATCTACGTCAAGACTAGCTTATTATTGTAATAATGATCAGTTGCCGGGGGGAAAAAGACTGACACGTATGCGACGTTGCCGGGGGGAAAAAGACTGACACGTATGCGACGTTCAACGCCCGGACCGATAGTGCTCCCCCACCCCCCTCCCCGACACGCACACAGCCACACGTGTGCAGGCCGCCCATCCGACCCCGACACACGCTAACGAGCCATCTTTAATTGCTTCTGATGACCTCTTGACAAATTAGAAGCGCTATAACTTTTCAGGCCGGCCTCAAATTCATCATAAGATTAAAACTCGGCTCCTGCACAAAACGCCTTTTTGCCCGAAGTGATCCCGGTCTCTACCCAGCCTGAGGCGAGTCATGAGTGAGGCAGGACAGGAAGTCGGATTTACGAGTCACAGGAAGTCGGAAGTGATGTCATGCTGGACAAGAATCAGAGTCCGAATAACATTTTTTCATATTCGGACTCGAGTCCGAATAGTCACTTCGAATTCCGTAACTTGTTGTGTCCTGGGCGTTTTTTCGGTAGTTCCCACCCCACCATTGTTATTCGCAGGTTTTGGCCCCAAGAGTAGGGGGGTTTCTTGCCCCCTTGACCAATAAAAATAAGGTGGGGGGTTCAGGGGGGCATGCCCCCTTGAATTTTACCATAATTAAATGTTTTGCAGTTGTTAGGTTTGATATCTTAGCTTGCCGCGCATCAAACGTATAGTCATAGACCTTGATTCTAGATGTAGACTGTAGATCTAGATCTAGTCTCAAATAAGGGGGGTGGGAACTAGATCTAGATCTAGATCTACCGAAAAAGCACTGTGTCCTGTACTCTGTTACTGTTTAAATAGTAATAAGTAAGTGGTGATTGTTAAGATTCCCGCGTTTAATTCCGATGTGCGTTTTTCATACCCTCAGGCATATTTCGCTTTGGTCCCTAACCTTAACCTTAACCCTAACCCTAACCCTAACCTAGGGTTAGGGACCAAAGCGAAATATGCCTGAGGGTATGAAAAACACACATCGGAATTAAACGTGGGAATCTTAACTCTTATCCTGCGTCTGTGCCCAGTTGCGTATCTTATCAGCAACCGATTACGTCGGACTCGCCGCCGGGGTCACTCAGTGTGTACTGTTGGTGTACAGCGCGCGCGCCGGGAAACGTGTGTTTTCGCCATGAATACCGCGGGAGTGTGTTAACTGATGATGAAAATAACGCTCTATCCTTCATAGCATTCTATTTATAAAGTGTTACAAACACATGAATAACCCCCTCTCACAAGCTGATAAGACATTACGAGTAGTTACGCCCATTTGAATAACCTTTCTGGACGCTCTTGTTGTTATGAATGACCTGAGGTTCGAAAAGGGATAATTTAGGTCAATTTCCGAATGTTTTACACTCAAATTGTTCTTTGTACCTGCACAAGGGTATTCAAAACTATTAAACAAGCTCATTTTTTATCAGGTAGTATCATTTCATACAAAATCAAGCTCATTTGAAATATTTTGTATAGAAAAATGGAAGTCTTGTTTCCTGACTATCCTTTCGAGCTCCTCATGTCTAAGTGGGTCAATTTCTTCTATAATTTCATTGGACGAACATCTAGAGCTATCAACTTGGCATGTATTGAATGAGACGTATGCCTCGATTACGAACCAACGCAGGTGGTTCTAGAAGAAGGCCACAAACGCACACAAACTCAAGCAGACTGACGGACACACACTTGACCTGCGTGAATGGGGATCCGACTCGGGACCAGAATGACACGTAAGAGGATGCGCGCTGCGCGTGCGCTGAGCCAGGAGCTACACTGACTCGGGACCAGAACGCAGGCGAGGTGCCGAAATAGGCTTATCGGGCTACATAAACCCGGCTCCCGCAGGATGAGGGTTAACAATCGCCAAGTAAGTTACTATTAATTATGACTTGTAAACTTAGGTTAGATCTAGATCTAGGACTTACTAGCCTTAGGGTTAAAGGTTCTGGTTTGGGTTTGAGCTAGGGCTAGGCCATTCTTCTATTAGGGTTTGAGTTTGGGTTTGGGATCTAGATCTAGATGGGCTCTTGTTGGGAAGGTCGCTCTTTTTTTACGGAAGTCCTTTCGTGATTTTTAATGACAAAATTTCCAGCATATCAAATTGACAAACCTTTTTCTTTGCAATTTATTGGCTTGGTTTTTAGAAGCAATTCCTTCATCCCCATTAGAAAGGGCAAAGAAGATCACAAGGCTTGACAAATAAAGAATGGCTTCGGTGACCAACATAATGCAATCATTCTCAGTTTAACACCCAGTCCCTGACACTGTTGCTGTGAAAATCGTTGTTATTAGGAGGCAGCCATTTTATTTCAAAGGGAGACAAACAGACTTAGGCTAGTATTATAGAGTTATCTTCCCATATTTATGCTCTTTGTTTCGCATATTTAATTTTCATATAGTTACCTTTATTAATTACTTTTAAAACGGACCATCGCATTTTTGTGTATCAAAAAAAAGGGGGGGGGGGAGAGAAAAAGAAGGGGGGAAAAGAAAGAAAGAAAGAAAAAAGAAAGAAAGAAAGAAAGAAAAAAGAAAGAAAGAAAGAAAGAAAGAAAGAAAGAAAGAAAGAAAGAAAGAAAGAAAGGAAAAAAAACCCGACTTAATGAGCTTGCAGAACACGTTGTGATCATGATGTTGTTTTCCACGACAGATAAAAAGCCAGTATAGGCCTACCTTTCCAGTCTATTACTGGGTTCATCGTTAGCTTGCTTTACAGCCTTTGTTATTCCCTGCCTCGCTCTGAAGTTAGAAAAATAATACTGTAATATACGCACCTCATCTTTCGAATCTCCTATCGTTGTCTTTTGTTGAAAAATAACATAAAAGAAAAAGTCTTGAAAACGTATGATGTATGCTATAATCAAAGGGGGGGGGTGGAAGGGATAAGTCATCTTTATCGCAGGCCTACTCAGCGATATAGTTGATGCAACCATTTTAATTTGTGTGTGTGCGTGTGTATGTGTGTGTGTGTGTGTGTGTGTGTGTGTGTGTGTGTGTGTGTGTGTGTGTTGGTGTGTTGGTGTGGTTAAAGGTTAAGCGGAGTTAGATCAGGTACCAGCGTATGTAAAGAATGTACCGTGGTTTTAAAAAAGAAAGAAACGAAGCCTACTATGATATTTAATTTACAAACTGACGAGAGGTGTTCAAATTATATATACTTTATAAGTGTTTTAAGATGTTGTAACATGTTGTTGTTGTTGTTTTTCAATGCTTGAATTTGTGATCTCGAAGCTGCATTTTGCACAAAGAGGATGGAGGCACCACAAAGCATACATGTACAAGCAAGGCGGTGTGACGGCATTAACTAGCCCTCAGAGAAATGTCGTCGGCCTTGTGCGACTTTGGAAAACAACCGACTGAAGTAACAGTTGTCTCTCAGAGAATGTACGCCCCCATACACATTGAACGGTCTAAACAAATAAATCGACAATAGACTATGTGTTCTGCTATTAATGAACGCAGCGAGATCGGACTGCAGTAACGCTTGAGCGTATATATATATATATATTTATAAATATATATATATAAATTATATAAGCCTTCAAGACCTTACAAAAGCAATTATTATTTATAATAGGCCTATAGTCCATGAACCACTGGCGTGGAATACAGCCCCAATTGAATCGTCAAGTATCGTATGAACGGTTGGGGAGAGGTAGTTTTGCCGCTCTAAAACTCCCCCCCTCTCTCTCTCTCTCTCTCTCTCTCTCTCTCTCTCTCTCTCTCTCTCTCTCTCTCTCTCTCTCTCTCTCTCTCTTTCTCTTCTCTCTCTCTCTCTCTCCCTCTCTCTGTCTCTCTCTGTCTGTCTGTCTGTCTGTCTGTCTGCCAGTCTGTCT